AATAAAAATGATTGGATTGATGCTGAAATTTTTGATCCCGAAAGGTTTTTAAAGAATAAGAATAGTAAGCGATCAATAAATGCTAAAGAAGCAAATAATAAAAGGGCGTTTGCAACATTTGGTGGTGGTGCTAGAATTTGTCCGGTTTGTATTAGTATTAGTAAAAGTTATAATTTAATAAATTTCAAAACGTTACTAATTTATTGTATATTGCTTACGTTGATAGGGAAAGCTCTGGGTGCTAACTGAAATAAAAGTACTTTTGGTGGCAGCCTTAATGAAATATGACATGGAATTTGTAAATAAAGATCAAGGATTGGACTTAGTTTGGGCTTCATCTTATCATTGGCGAAAACTTGAAGTCCGTCTAAGACCTAGAATGCAGGATACATAACTTAAGTTGTAATTAAAGTAGAATTCATTCGCCTTATCATCAAATGATTCAGTTCTAAAGTTGAAATTTTTATGAAATAATCAACGCTTTTATTTATCTTTTCACGTGTTTAGATTTGCAACACAGTAATTAGCACAGTAATCTACCATATTGATATTTTCTTAACCTCGTATTATTGTAAAGCTTTTTTAAAATTAGAGTAAAGCTTAAGGCAACCATGCTATAGAAAAACTTCTTTGACATAAAGAATTTGGTTACGAACCTAAATGCTATCTTAATTTATGTATTACGTACTTATGTATTTTGTTACATTTTTTATCATATCTATTTGTATTTCGTTAGAGTGCATGTTCTCTTGTCAATTTGACATACTCATATTTTAAATGTGTTTAATATTTTATAGAATATAAATAAAATTATTGTATTATTTACTTAAGACCAGGCCTACCGAATAATTGATTGCAATCGAGTGAAAAGTTCAGTGTAGATGATCTGAATTAAAGATCTTAAATAATTAAGTTATAAACACAATCAATTTTGATTAATAAATTAAAAATACAATTTATAATGTTTATATTTAAATTATTTATATGTAATCAATCGAGTGTTGATGAGCTTTGACGTGTACATATCATTAGGATGTATTTGCTCGACTTCTTCATGTTTGTTTTTGTCTGATTCCAGGAATAGTTTTTTTATTTCGTTTTCAATTGAACTTTCAATTTTTTAAGTTTATTTCGTTTTCAATTGAACTTTCAATTTTTTAAGTTAATCTTCGATTTCAATCTTATGGCGGTTTGCAAAAAGGTGTGACCCTGTGATTTCATGATTATGGCAGCATAAAAATAACTTGGATTTTAAATTCATTATTGATCATATTTTCAATCAATGATGCCTAAATTTATTCGAAATCTCTATTTTCTAAGAATCGAAAAATCTACTAGAATCACCTGATTCTCGGGATTTACATTCAACATGATTTGCGGAAGTCACACCTTTCTGTAAATCGCCATAATTTCATTTGCGGTAGGTCTTTTCTTAAAATCGAATTCATGCATTGTTTGACTAAATTTATATTATGATCAGGTGTTCCTAAAGCATATTTCGGTCGCTCTCATTGACAATCCTTAGTGAGAGTCCAATATAAAATGGTGTTCACCATCAAATGGTCTTTTTCCATTTGCAGTTTCTGTCATGATGACTCCAAAACTGTAGATATCTAATGCTTGTATATATGGATTTCCCTGTAAAACTTCTGGTGCAATATATGGCATGGCCCACAAATTCCATCGGAATTTTTGATGACATTGTTAGTCCTAAATCAGCAATATATATGTTGTACGTTAAAATGGAATCCCGATAGGTTTAGAATCAACTTAAGTTGAAACTGAATTCCAAATATAGATCAAGTTGCTATGAAATTCGAATCGAACTTAAGTTGATTCTAAATTGATTTTGAGCATATCAAATAACGTAATTAATTATGTCAGTAGTATAAAGTTAAATAAATTAAAATCGTATGTTTCATTCGGTTCTACAACAAAATCCCGACATCCAAAATCTCGAAACCATAATCCTTACATGACAATTAATATTTAAAGATTAGTAATCACATTAATAATCATTGTCAGACTTTAAATTTTAATTGTCACATTAGTACCCTAGCCATGGCAAAAAAAAAAGTCACTATCACGTGATTTTTCGAAGCTAGCCAATTAGATAACAAGATCAGGTGTAACTAGTGATGTGCCGCGTACAGTACTATACGTACTGTACGTACGTACTGTACGTACTGTACGCGAGAATTTTGTCGATC